TTAAACAACACAAATATCCTTTATGTATTTATTCCCATTCTATTAACCAATGTCTTTGCTTCTGACCTTCGATGATCCAGTTCAACCATACTAATAATCAAAAATTACTCGACGAACATTTGTGTGTCTTTTTTTATTGCTGAAGTGTGTTGAAATTTCTACTTCTGCATTCTACTGTACAGATGTAAATTTACTTTCCCTTCAGCCTGAGGCTTATTCATTTCACTTTTGGTGCGAAAAGGCTTTTATATTTGCCAAAAATAGAACTTTTTTATTTTAAAAACAAACAAGCAAGCCCTGTCCAGATTTAAAAAGTAGCGCAAAAGTAACGTAACGCATTACTTTCCATAAAAAAGTAACTAAGTAACGTAATTAGTTACTTTTTTTATGGAGTAATGCAATATTGTAATGCATTACTTTTAAAAGTAACTTTCCCCAACACTGATTATAAGCTCCATATATGTGTAGCTTTTATTTTACATTGTGTTTGCTTTGGCATTGACTGACTAGTGTCGTCTTTGACTGTAGGTCAGTAAGGAGCTCTCAGAAGAGTATGAGAGACTCGTGAATCCAGAAAAAGCTCTGGAGGATTCCAAACCCTTGAAGGTTAAAGAGGAGCCAGTGAGTGACATTGCGTTCCCTATAAGTGAGGTGCCGGAAGCAGATCTCGCCTCAGGTGACCAGGCCCTTCCCATCCGTGTACTGGGCACATCCAATGAAAGACTGGCAGGAGGACTGGAGGAGGGACATTCCCCTCACACATCAGGTACCAGTTCTGTTCTGAAGGATCTTTATTGGTGCTCAATCAAGTTGAAATGCTAAAAATTTTTTAAATAATTTAAAACATCATATGCAGTTCATTCATTTCATTATTCATGTAATTCTTATAATTGTATTATTATTATACAGTAATATTAACTAGGGAATAGACAGCTTTTTTGAAGTCTTGTTCAGTCATGGTTTCTTTGACCCTCAGAAGTCTGTTTTTGCTACTGTACCTATAAGACTTCCTTATGTAAATGTCCTCTGTTATGATTGGCTAACCTCTAAGTTTACGAGATGAGTAGCGAACATACTTGAGATAAAGTTCTCATTTCAGTATGACAATTCTCACCAATATCTAAAAAAAAGGGGTCCATAAAGCTCCCAAGAAAAGACCCATTTATACAGAGTGAGGAAAAATAGTAAGTGTCACAATATAAATAGCATTCACAACATACAAATTAAATAGTTGACTTTTATGTATGACATGTTTTTATTGTTTATATTTATATCGTATTAAAGCCAAATTGATTTTAATATGATCTGAACAGTATTATCTGTAATGTTAGATATATAAACCTGAATAGAAATTTTCCGTTGAATTAAAATTTTCACAGGACTTTCATTATTTGCAATATATAATTTTGATCACACTTTAGCTTAAGGACCAATTCTCACTATTAACTAACTATTTACTATGACTTTTGCCTCAGTAAACTCTTAAATAACAGTTATTAATGTGGTTGTTATGTTGAAGTGTTGGGTAGCATTAAGCGATGTAGAATATGGTTATGGTAAACTATGTAGAATAAGCACATTAATGTGCTTTATAAGTACTAATAAACAGCCAGTATGCTAGTAATATGCATGCTAATAAGCAACTAGTTAATACTGAGAATTGGTCCCCAAACTAAAGTTTTTTTTTTAACCAAATTTTCTGTGGACCCCCAAGCACTGCCTTATGGCCCCATGGAGGACCCAGTTTGAAAAACCCTTACTATAATATTTTCAACATAGTCAACATATAATCACAAAATTACAAGTTTCAGTACAACCTGGATGAGTGTTTGGACTTACATTGTGATTCTTGCTCTGCATTCACAAATTCTTAACTTTTAAATTAGAATTATTGAATGCAAAACATCCAGCTGTGTTTTGAGCCTCGTTTCTACCGCAGCCTTTTTTTTAAAGCGGCCATCTGTCTGTTCTGCCAGACACTCGGGAGTGAGCAGCACACCATAACGAATCAACAACAGACTTTAGAAAAATGTTGTCCTTTGATCTGTCCACAATACCTCCCAAATCAACATGTGAATTCTGCATAATAATAGGAACATTGCTCACTGCAGGCAAGTTGATGTCCGACCGTCATTGTCTTTGAAATGTATTATTGAAGGCAGTGAATTTGTTACACAAGCAGCTGTATTGGCGATGACTTGAGACAAAACTTCTCAGAGAAAGTTCACCGTATAGGCACAGCATGCTGTCTGCACAAATACTCTGCATTTTAATTATTATTGATAGGCATTTTCGGTAACAGTGTACAGCACATCTTACACACATAGAGTTATTTTAGGCATAAGGCCATCACCTCGAATTAGCAAAAATTTGCATATGAACATATTTGTTTTCCTTTCCAAATGTAGTTCCTGAATAATAAATAAATGTATTATGTTTTTGCAACTAACATGCAGCAGTCCACTGCATGCCTTCTCATTATTACCAATGTGTTTCACTCGTTAACGATATTCCTATTTATAGTACATTGAGCTTCAATTTATTGTGTTTGTCCTTGATTAGACTCATTTAACCATCTGTGGTTTGCATTTAAGATTGATCTCTGTTTTATCTTTATCTCTGGCAAAATGTCTGTTATACATTTCTGTGTGAGCAGCCACTGCTTCTTCAGGTCCGTTTGGTTAAAGCTTTGGTTTGGTAAAGTAATTCCGTTAAATTGGAAGACTGTATACACTAATGCATAAATGCAACAAGCCGTGAAATAGATCTCAAATCGTTACACGTCAAGAATGTAAACACAGTTGGTTATGTCTTAAGTGAATGCAAACTATTTTGGTGAATATTATAATATACTGGATCTGTGCATTAGGTCTTAAAGTGACAGCAAAAGAAAAAAAAAATACAGAAAATTACTCTGCTCTCATGACTGAATAAATGTAATGGTTTGAATAAGAATCAGCATTTAACTCAGTTTTTTTTTTAATTGACATTTGATTACTTTACATTTGAACTTTAAGGGCTTTTTCTTTGTATCTGTTCTGTTGTTTTTTATTTGTCATATGCAGAAAATGTCTTTTTGATGTCGTTATCATAAAATAAAAATGCAAGTAGTCCATTTTAGGGCTGCTTAATAAATTGTAATTTAATCGTGATCATGATTTCTGCTTCTCTCGTTTAATTAAAGGGGTCATATGATGCTATTTTAAAGATCATTATTTTGTGTATTTGGTGTAACAGAATATGTTGATGTGACAAGAGGGGCGGGGCCGAGAGCCGTGGGAACGGAGCGAGGCCGGTGGAGTAATTGCGAATTATTTGTTCCATTTTTATCTAAATCATTTAGCAACCTTTTTTAAATGCCAAATTGTATATGACAAATATGATTTATTATGTATATATTTATGATTGAAATAAATGATAAATTAATAAATAGGGCCAAACATTAATTATAATCTATTAATTAATCTGTCTAATAATGTCTAAGAATATAATAATTATGTCTACCAAGCTCTGATAATGTATGTAATATTATATTAACAGACTATCTAAATTTTAATAAAACAATAGGCCAATACCTTTAGAAGCATGAATGTGTCTGCCACTTTAAAGGTATGGTTCACCCAAAAATGAAAAATTCTGTCATAATTTACTCTCATAAATTCTTTCTTCTGTTGAACACAAAAGAAGATAGACTACTTTGAAGAATGTAGGTAACTAAACAGCTGCTGGTCCCTAGTAACTTCCATAGTAGGGAAAAAATATACTATCGTAGTCATTGGGGACCAGAAACTGTTTGGTTAGTTACCCACATTCTTCAAAGTATCTTCTTTTATGTTCAACAGAACAAAGAAATTATTACAGGTTTGGAACAACTTGTGGGTGTGTAAACGATGACAGAATGATCATTTTTGGGTGAATTATCCCTTTAAAGTCGGCATGAAACGGAAGTTGCGATTGTCTTTTCTTCTCTACTGTGACGTATATCCGAGTGAAATGCGGGCGGGACTTGATTTCGTCCTTCGGGAATTGATTGGATCTTTGGAAGTTAGGGCGTTGCTAAAAAAATGGAGGCAGATCTGAATGCTAGCTTGCAGTTAGTGGTGGAGGATTTCTCTCCACTGGATTCAAACCCGACACCCAAGCATGAATAAATGGTTTATTTATTAAGGATGACGACGACGATCAATGGCACAAACATGCCTAAATGGCACGCGCCTGCGCAAGTGGGGAAGTCGTGGCCTAATGGTTAGAGAGTCGGACTCGTAACCCAAAGGTTGCGGGTTCGGGTCTCATACCGGCAGGGATTGTAGGTGGCAGGGATCCCTGCCGGTACGAGACCCGAACCTGAGCACGTTTTAGTACCTACAATCCCTCCCACCTTCAATACCACGACTGAGGTGCCCTAGAGCAAGGCACCGAACCCCCAACTGCTCCCCGGGCACCGCAGCAAAAAAATGTCTGCTCACTGCAGCCATTTTTGTGTTCACGGTGTGTGTGTATGTGTTCACTGCTGTGTGGATGGGATAAATGCAGAGCACTAATTCCGAGTATGGGTCACCATACTTGGCGACATGTCGCGTCACTTTCACTTTTCACTTTCAAGAGAGAGAGGGAGAGAGGGAGAGACTGCCTGAATGACTGAGCACATCCTCCATCAGGTTAAGTCATATTCATGAAAAAAATTTGTTTGCGATGTCCTAAGAGTAATGTTGTCGTAATATCCGTTAAAATGTTAAAATGTTTAGGGGTAACGTACTCCCTCATGACTGGTGTCAGTGCTATAAAGTGAAGCATTAACTTCAGCTTTTCCCCCTGTCGTTTAACCCAGCGTTTACCCCTCACGTCACTAGCTCCGCCCTTGTGCCATAGCTCGTGACTGGAAGAGAAGATGAGTCGTTTTGAAGGGGAGGGGAGGTTAAGGTTTTTTTTGATTAACGATTACGCACATGAATTTTTTAAAAAAATAATGAAGTGCACGGATAAATTATTATTTATAATAAACACTACAGTACTCCATTAAAAAATAAGAATTACATTTTGATTTCATGGTGACTTTAAGTCCACCGTGAGCAACTGAAATGCTTCTCTGCAAACTGCGCGTTCATCATTAGTTACTGGACAGACCCGATAATAATTCAGCCCTACATCTGGAGAGACTCTTGTGTTCAAAGCATGGTTCAAAGGGCGGACCGGGCAGATGTGAGCCATGCAGGTTTACTGCACGCTGCGTTCCGTGTGAAAGAGCCTTAACGGCGCCCATTGTGGAGACTCCGTCGCTATGGAAACAAAGACCCAAAATGCAAATGAGCTTCTCTAATACTTCTTATGAAATTTATTTCATTATAATTGCTATTAGTATTATCCAACCTGCAAAATCCTTGGCCTTTGTAAAATACGAGACAAATCGCATCCTGTATCGATTTGATACGGGACGCATAATTTTACCTTTAAATACGGGACGATTCCGTATTTTAAGGGACGGGTGGCAACCCTACCCAGTGGTCATCTTTGAAATGCCTATCTTTGAATGGGAAACATCAAATTCTTCAAATCTGTTCACCAAGCTTACAATTAAATGCCATATTTGAAATCACATAAATTTAGCTTATTTTTCAGGCTAGACCAGCCAATGTGCATCTGCAGTCCTAAGCACGCATCTCGGGACTCTTACTGTTACTCTTCTATGGCAACCAG